ATAGGAATCAATTTCCAACACGATTTTTTCTCTTAAAAATTGAATTAATTAATATATCATATTTGTAAGCGTCTATGGATCAAATATTTAGCACCTCAATTTTATAAGTAAAATATCTAAAACAAACAATAATTCAATATTTTTTTCTTTTATTTAAATTTATATCTTCGTTAAGCAGCATATAAGTATCCGGCCATTACATTCCCTAAAGTAGATGAAGAAAATCTTTTTTTTTTGCTTTCCCTTTTTGGAAGGCTCACATTAACTGAAAAAGTAGTTTATGAGTAATATTATTTTTTTAATTTATTTTCAGAGAATCTCATTAGTTAATTAATTAGTAGTTAATTAGTCGTCTTACTGAATTTTGTGTTCCCGAGCCAGAATTTGACCCTTCGCAAAACACAAGAGGCCACGTTCTACATTGGGGCCGTCGATCTTTTTATTTTTCTATTCCAAATCCAAAATATTACAGCTCATTAATTAATTAATTAAAAGATTTTCTTAATCACCACTAAACAAATTATCTTTAAAGTCTGCAAATAAGATTATCCTAAATAATCATCATACCTTTTACACTCTCCTCACTAATATATAAATGTACACTCTGTTGGAAAACTTGTATAGAATTCAACAAAGATCACAAACAGTAAAAATCAAAAAGAAAAAATTAACTTTGTTCCATTGCAATAATTTGATTCAAGATGACATAATCTTCTAACTAATGCTTTTAGTTGTTATTTTTTTGAAATGGAGAAAGAAGAGAAAAAACATTGTTCTTCTGATTTAGGAATCATGTTTATTTAAAAATCAGAGGTATATTTTTACCATCAAAATATATTTTTTTATAAGTCTTTATTAAATTTAAAAAATAGCTCACGTATCACATTAATAAGTATTTACTTTTATGGACCAAAATTTTAATACTTTATTAGATCATTAACATGTTACTTCAATGATATTTAACATATCTACGTATAATATATTAATACGTAAGTCCACAAAATATCCCACTTGAACCACATATATTTATGAAGAATAACATGCATTACTAAATATACTGTCACAATATTATTTGCATGCATTACTAAATGTATCATATTCATGATTTTTCACAATTAGGTCGAAATATTTTTTTTGAAATAATTATTTCACATAGATAAATTATATCTATATATTTGAAATAAAAAGAATTTGTCGTAAAATAAGAGAAAAAGACAAGTAGTGATAGAAAATAAAATCTCTTCAAGTGTATTTCTTAAGGGCGAAAGGATACCCTTTTATAAGAGGTAGAATTCATCTGTTTACAATATTAAATAAAATACGTTAGAAGCTCTTTAAGTGTATAATAAATGGGACATCACGTTTGGTGTATATTGAAAGAAACATCCACACAAAATTCAATGAATTTGTAACGCTCCCCTTTGAATATTTATCGATAACGTGCCTCGTTAAAACCTTATCAGGAAAATTCATGTGGGAAAAAGCCTAGTGAAGAAAAAAGAGTACACACATCTTGCAATACGCCTTGAGTGCTGCCTTATTAAAAACCTTACCAGGAAAAATCAATGAAATAAAATCTTGTCTGAGGGAAAAAGAGTACAACGCGTATTTACTCCCCCTGATGAAGAACTTATCTGATATCTTAGAGACGACACATTCCAATCATATATCTTAGTTTCTCAAATGTAGACGCTGAAAATGCCTTAGTGAATAAATCCGCAAGATGATCACTCGAACGAATCTATTGAACATTTATCTCACCATTTTGTTAAAGATCATGTGTGAAAAAGAATTTAGGTGAAATATGTTTTGTTAGGTCTCCTTTGATCTATCTTCCCTTTAATTGAGCTATGCAAGCAACATTATCTTCATACAATATTATTGGAATCTTTGTTTGCATAGAAAGATCGCATAATTGCAAAATATGTTGAGTCATTGATCTTAACCATAGACACTCTCAGCTAACTTCATGAATGACTATTATCTTTGAAGAAGTAGAAATTATTGTTTGTTTCATCGAACTCCATGATATAATTGTACCTCCATATGTGAATAAATAACTTGTCTCAGATCGGGCTTTATGTGGGTCAGACAAATAACAAGCATCTACATAACTGATCAATTCTGAATTGGATGCATTAGAATACAACAATCTCATATCAATTGTTTCTTGAAGATATCTGAATATATGCTTAACACCTTTCCAATGTTTTCTTGTTAGGTATGATCTGAATCTTGCTAATAAACTTGCTGTGAAACAAATATTTGGTCGGGTATTGTTGGAAAGGTATATTAGTGCCCCAATAGCACTAAGATAAGGTGTTTCATCAAAACGAATCTCTTCATCATTTTCTTGAGGCCGGAATGCATCTTTATTTATATCAAGAGATCTCACAACCATCGGGATACTCAATGGGTGTAATTTATCCATGTAAAATCGCTTTAAAACCTTTTCAGTATATGTTGATTGATGGACAAATATTTCATTTGTCAAATGTTAAATCTGAAGGCAAAGATAAAATTTTATCTTACCAAGATCTTTCATTTCAAATTCTTTTTTCAAATACTCAATGACTTTTGAAAGCTCTTTAGGAGTTCCAATGATTTTCAAGTCATCAACAAAAACATTTATTATTACAAATTCGAATTTTGACCTTCGTATAAAATACAAGGACAAATAGGGTCATTCTTATACCCTTCATTTAGCAAGTATTCGCTAAGAAGATTATACCACATTCGCCCTGATTATTTCAATTCATATAAAGATTTCTGAAGTTTTATAAAATAACTTTCTTTTGAATTTTTATATGCTTCAGGGACTTTGAGTGCTCCAGGGATTTTCATAAAAATATTGTGGTCTAGTGAGCCATATAAATAGGATATGACAACGTCCAGTAGATGCATTTCAAGTTTTTCATAAATTGTCATATTTATTAGATACCTGAAGGTAATTACATCAACCACAGGAGAATATGTCTCCTCACAATCAATGACAGGCCTTTGCGAAAATTCTTGTGCAACACGTCGTGCTTTATATCTTACGACTTTACCATTTATATTGCTTTTTCGCACAAAAATCCATTTAAGCCCCACTAGCTTCACACATATAGGTGTTCGGACTATTAGTCAAAAAAACTTCACGTTTTTCAAGTGAAGTCCATTCTGTTTAAATTGCTTCCTTCCATTTTAACCAATCATTTCTCTGTCTACATTCATTGACAGATCTTGGTTCTAAATCCTCATCTTGTTGCATTATTTCAATTGTAACATTATAGGCAAAAATATTATCCACCACATTATTATTTTGATATGATCTTTTTCTCGTCGAGACATAATTTATAGAGATTTCCTCATTCTTATTGTTTTTAGGTACATGGACCTCATCTCAATCATTTATTTTTTTCTTTTTCGAGAATTTTTATCCTTGGATTTAATTGGTGTATCAAGTTTTAAGAGTGGTCCAGACTCATGTGCCTTAACATTTTATCGTATAGGAACATCAACTCGAACTTGAGCATTAGCAGCTGGATATATAATTTAGTAATCCGTAGAAGATTAGTAAATGCATCGGACAGTTGACAGCAAAACATTTTGTGCATATTGATCCAACTACTTAATGTGTGATACCGCTTTTTAAATAACTTCTATAGAATTCACTCAAAATTAGAAGTAAAGCATTAAACAAAGATTTGAATTCATAAGAATGGAAAGGGAACTAACCTAATTTCATTGCAATACTTTGACTAAGGAAGACTAGATTTTCTAAACTTTGAAGACGACATTTTTTTAGAAGTATTTCTCTGAGATAGAGAGAGAAGAGAAAAAAAAACATAGTTCCTTTCTTTTAGGGATTATGTTTATTTAGAAATTAGAAATTTTTAGGTGTCCTTTTAAGTTGTGAAAACATATTTTCAATCAGTCTTTATCAAACTTAAGAAAAAGGTCCACAAAATTTTAAACTTTCCATATTAAATTCATGTTAATAAATATTTAATTTTAAGACCCAAAGCTTTAATACTTATTATATTAAACATTAAAATAATTGAAATTTAAAAAAGAAAAGGGAGATGAAAAATAACTCAAGAAAAAACAAGAATGAAAGAGAGGGAAAATAATGAATGAAAATAAAATAACAATAAAAGAGTGAGAAAATGTTGGAAGACAAGAAATGGATAAAGATAAGAAAAGAAAAAAATGACCAAAGACAAAATGATCGAAGAAAAAATGAAGAGAAAAAAAAAATTGACGGAAGAAAAGACAGAGAGAGAGAGAGAAAAATGATAGAAGAAAAGACAAACAGGATAAGAAAATATATTACTCAATACTCATAGAAGAGAAAATGTGTTTTTGTTATTTCTGATAACAAAATTAATGCTATTCATATTAAACCATAATCCATAATTTATGTGTTATATTATATTATTTCTATAAAATGAACTTTTAAGTTTTTACCCTTTACATGTCACTCTATTAGTTATAAAACTATTAGGGATGGGTATTAATCCTAAAAATATGAAATGATATAGTTAAGCCATTTCCATTAGTACAAAATAAATTTGAACATTTTCCAATAAATTAATTTCCATATATAATATAACATTCATCTTTGACCAACATAATTATCACTTTAATATTTTTCTTAATTAGCTCAACATATTAGTTAGTACTTACCATGATTAGTTAAAGAGATTTGGGAGTAAATAATTTGACTAGATATGATTAAAGTTTTTCACTTGAAAGAGTAACAAATATTAAACTTAATTATATCACTAGAAGTGTTAATTAAATGCCATTACATTCAAAGGTGTCAGATCATATCTTACCAATTCATGATAATCACCAAATAGTGTAATTTGAGATGTAGATTTAGTAACCAAAAAAAAAAGAAAGGATTGACTCTAATTTAATTTATGTCCAAAATAGACTATAGAAATTCATTATTGACTAGTTAGTTTTTTTTTCATCCTATAAATAGCCCTCAAAATCTCAGAAAATAAATTCAAACACATAAATCTCAGTGAGTTTTTTATATATTATTTTTCACTCTCCATTGGAATAAAGAGTAATAGTTGTAAACCATCATGGCTATGGTTGTAATGCTATTTTTGATTTGCATCCTTTTGATGTCACTGAAAATTGTCTATGAAACTCTTTTAAGTTACTATTTGATTCCCAAACGTATCACTAAAATCATGGAAAAACAAGGTGTGCGAGGTCCTAAACCTCGATTTCTTGTTGGAAATATCTTGGATATGGCTTCTCTCGTCTCCGAATCAACTTCAAATGACATGGATTCGATTCACCATGACATCGTCGCTCGCCTTTTGCCCCATTATGTTGCTTGGTCTAAGATTTATGGTAATAATTTTCAGTTTGTTTTTAAAAAGAATGATATGTTCTGTTCTTCTCTAACAATTTGATTTATAAAATTAATAAACAGGGAAACGATTCATTTTTTGGAACGGGACAGAACCGAGAATGTGCTTATCAGAAGCAGATTTAATCAAAGAGCTTTTTTCAAAGTACAACAGTGTTTCTGGAAAATCTTGGCTACAACAGCAAGGTTCTAAACATTTCATCGGGCGCGGACTTTTGATGGCCAACGGTGACGATTGGTACCATCAACGCCACATTGTTGCTCCAGCTTTCATCGGAGAAAAACTAAAGGTACAAAATGTATATATACATATATTTTTTACTTAGTTAGTACATAATTTATATTTATGTATGGGCAGAGTTATGCGGGATATATGGTGGAATGTACGAGTGGGATGCTGCGATCACTAGGAAATGCGGTTAAATCAGGCCAAGTGGAGTTCGAGATGGGAGAGTACATGGCTCGACTCACCGCTGAAATAATTTCGAGAACAGAGTTTGACAGTAGCTATGCAAAGGGAAAACAAATATTCCATTTATTAACTATTTTACAGCAAAAGTGTGCACAAGCTAGCCGGCACCTGTGCTTTCCCGGAAGCAGGTAAACTTTTGAAATCCCAATATAACCCGTAATTAATTATAATTTCTGCATCTTCTTCTTTTTTTAATTATTAAAAGTTTTATCAATTTCAAAATATTTGAAAGTGCTACTTAAAAGATTCAGAAAATGACAGAATTCAATTTCGATTATCAGAATGGATTATTGTGGAGTAATCTCATCAATGTGATATATGCATTGGTGATATTATTAATTTTTTTTTCCAAAAATTTTAAATTCAGAATCTTTAACTTTTGTGTTTCGATTCATATCAACTCAATTTTATTCTTTTTTTCTATACAGGTTTTTTCCAAGTAAATATAACAGAGACATAAAGACATTAAAAATAGAAGTGGAGACGCTACTAATGGAAATAATACAAAGTCGAAAAGATGGTGTAGAAATTGGGCGAAGCAGTTCGTATGGGAATGATTTATTAGGAATGTTACTTAATGAGATGCAAAAGAAAAGATCAAGCAATGGATTCAGCTTGAATTTGCAGCTTATTATGGATGAATGCAAGACTTTTTTCTTTGCTGGACATGAAACCACTGCCCTTTTGTTAACTTGGACGGTTATGTTGTTAGCGAGTAATCCCTCTTGG